GCTTGCGCCACCTGCTGGTGAGCGACTAACAGCAGATGCAGATCATGCATCGGTACTCTACTGCTATTCCTGCAGTTCCCGGATGTGCAATGCTGAATTTTCTGCTGAATTTGAACCACTGAAATTGTGGAAGCGAATTTGTAAAGTGAAATAAAATGGACTAAAAATTGCCTGTCGAATATTATACATCGTATTTTTAAACAGATTGAATATTTCGGAAGTGAACTCTGGAAGGAGAATATGAATTATTGAATTTTTAATTATGAAAATGTGAAATGTTTTGAATTGAAATATTCACAGGTTAAATAAACAACTATGTTAAATTTCAGCCCCTAAAAATGCAAACCCTGAAAATGGAAGGCATGAAAATGCAAGCACTGTTAATGCAATGCATTATTTTTTCAGTTAGTGCAATTCAACATGCTTTTTTGTTTCAAAGACTTTTTGCCTTTATGGAATTTTCTTCCATAAAACTAAGGCAGGAATATTTATTTGAGTTTTATTATATGATGTACTAACTGTGAGAAGTGAAGCTGACAGTGTAAATACGGACCTATGTCTTTGCCTCTGGCTGCATCTGGTCTTCTGAGTTCTGCCACAAACTTCTTGGCATCAAGACGGATTTCAATGATGTTGTTCAGGAGGGCAAACAGAGGCGCCAGTGGGAAAGATGCCACAAAGAGAGTCACAAAGCCAAACTGGATTACTGCAGGAATGGAAGCACAATAATTAATTAATAATTAATGAATTAATTTGGCAAAACAAGACTACCTGTCTACCTTCTTTGTAAGGAGTAAAACATCTGAAAATTGTTTAGTAAAAAAAAGACTAGCCTACATTTTCTTTGTTGGCCATTGGTTGTGACTGGTTTGGACTTTGGCATATTTGTTGTCAATTTACAATTGTCCAGATTTGGTAAAGACGTTATGTTATTATATTATAGCTGTAGTTAATAGTTCAAGAGTTGGTTTCACAATTTATCAAAGTACACAGTAAAAAAGTTGGAACCTGAATTTTTAAGAATTTCCCCCTACTTCTCTGCTTCATTAATACTTAAAAATGGCTTCATCCATGTTTTTTGATGGGTACAAACAATTTTAATAAAAGAGTCACCCACGATATTAATAATAAAAATAATAATGTTGAAATATGCTAAGGTCCTGAAACAGATTACATGTAAGTAAATGGCTTTTGAACCAATCAAATACAAATTTTAAACTCAGTGAATAAAACTGTACCAATGAAATATATATGAAGACAAGTAATGAACAATTTATCCATTATGATGATTTTGTTTGGTTTATGAGTGTGTAAAAACACTCACTCATCTCCATGTATTCGGGCGTGAGGCCAGCAAAGGGCTCCAGGAAATGATCCGTCTCATAACGCTGTAACTTCTTCTCATATTCCTCTTCCTGGAAAGAGCCTCTCTTGGATTTAATGTATCTGATCAGCTTCTTCAGTTTACTGCAGTAAAGCAAATACGACTCAAAGCACGCAAACACAATACGCTTTCAACGTGTCGCTTGTGATCGCTCAAACAGTGGTGTGTGTGTGGGTCAGCGTGACACTCACGGGACGCCGATCTCAAACAGGTTGTTCTGGATGAGCTGTTTGCCGAGCATTGTGATGCTGAGCTGAATGCAGAGCTCCATGAGACAGCCGCCGTGAGCGCACTGAGCAAACACATCAAACCATCACGTCAGCTGCTGCAATCAATCCCTTCATCAGAGAACTCATGTGTTTCTGTTTTCATACCTCCTCCATCCGATAGGACTCAAACACATAGAGATAGCTTCCCGGACGCCCCCCGAGTCTGAATGGGAACACAGTTAGTCATTCATGTTTAGTGTGAACTTGACAGTACTTTCATTAATTCATCAATTATGAATGTAAATGAACAGACAAAAGCACATGGAGCTTTCCTCTAAGGTTGTGTGAGATAAAACTGGTCTGGATATGTATTACCCACCTGCCTCTAAAAAATGCAATGTATATGATGGGAGTGAACGCATTCACGAACTTGAGGATGAACGTTTTGAAGATCAGCCTTTCTTCAAAGCTCTTGTCCGTTTTAGGAACCTCTGAGGAGACAACCATAACACAAATGCTTGATATTCACACGTTATATTTTACACATGACTGAAAGAAGTAAACGTCAAAGATCAACAGCACTAAGTCAGTCTGAATGTCATCATATATCAATGATCAATATCAAATCAATGATGAGCATAGCTCTACTAAACACAACAACTGACCGAGAACAGTGAGCCAACGTGCGACGGCGCCGTACACTTCATCCAGAATGAGAATAACCACCAGGTTTATGATGGCCGCTGTGGTTTTAACCGTCAGTCTGACATTGGAGCGGGTCATGGGGTTTGAGCTCATAGCCAGAGCGGCTTTGGTTGAGATCCGGTATAAAATCACACCAAATACAATAGCAAACGTCACACCGATCTGTAAAATAGCGAGGGATGCACTTAATTTGGCTGACAGGTCTTTGAACTGAAAGTACAACCAGATAAACACCAATAAGACAGCCGTGAAAAACAAGATGAAATATTTAAAAAGATATGCCTTTAAATGAAGCCATGATATGATGAAGATATAAGTATAGGAACTTAATTGACTTTAAATTTAGTTTGGAAAGTTTTAAAAAGCTGAAGAACACATTTATTTGAAGAAAAAAGTCAGATTAATTACTGAAGGCATTGTTCATTTATTGAATAGGTTATGTTCTCAGCTAAGTCCCACAGGCAGAATATAAAAGTGACTATGAATCATTCAGTGCATTATCGCCAGAGCGGCTTTGGTTGAGATCCGGTATAAAATCACACCAAATACAATAGCAAACGTCACACCGATCTGTAAAATAGCGAGGGATGCACTTAATTTGGCTGACAGGTCTTTGAACTGAAAGTACAACCAGATAAACACCAATAAGACAGCCGTGAAAAACAAGATGAAATATTTAAAAAGATATGCCTTTAAATGAAGCCATGATATGATGAAGATATAAGTATAGGAACTTAATTGGCTTTAAATTTAGTTTGGAAAGTTTTAAAAAGCTGAAGAACACATTTATTTGAAGAAAAAAGTCAGATTAATTCTGAAGGCATTGTTCATTTATTGAATAGGTTATGTTCTCAGCTAAGTCCCACAGGCAGAATATAAAAGCGACTATGAATCATTCAGTGCATTATCAACACAGGTCACATTGCTTTGTTAATTTAAATGGAAATCTTCTGCTATTGTATCAAAAGTTTCAATAACATAAAAATAAAAGTTTTTTAATGGAAACACTGGCAGATTAATCTTTGTATGTATGATGTATGATAAAGGTACAGTAGATAAAAGGTATGTAAACCTGTAATATATAGTAACATGTGGACAAGAGGCTTCCTGTAGCTGCCGATCAGATTATTGTTGTTGTTGAGTAGCTGGAGGCGTTTTGGCAGTCTCCTCAGTACTAAACTATTTCTGTTCGTGTGTATTTTTAGGATGTCCCAAAAGCTTCAGTATTTGACCGTAAGGTCGTGATTCTGGGCCAGTGTTTGAACAGAGGATGCCTGGACATTCTGCTAAAGAACTTTCTGACTGCTTGACGGATCAAAGAACAAGCAAACTTATCTGGAATCTGGATCACCTTAGAAACATTAATGGATGTTGGATTCAATAACATTAATGGATAATGGACTCAAGAATAAACAGCAATATAGAAAAATAAAGATTCAGGTTTCAGTGGGCAACAAGAATTTAACACTTGGTTGCATGCATTTAAATGACAAATGAAACATATGAAAAAAAAACACCAATACTGAAATTTACTGAAAACCTAATAATAATGATACCAGCATTACCAACATTTGGTACCTGATGCTTCCAAACACTCCTGTGCATAATTGTGTTTGCACAAAGGTTTCAACGTACACCGTGAGTTTGCACTGAACTGAAATGACTGCCAGGGGTCAGTCAGGAGTGAAAACAGTATTTAAATGTGGTATTGCATCTGAAATGGCAATGATTTACAGTGTTTTGTCAAAAAAGATCTGTTCGTTAAGTCAGGGAGTGTACGTGCAGAGTTATAGAACTGCCACTTATTTTATTACATGTAAAATGTTGCATTGTTCTTAATTTGATTACTTTTCACTTAAACTAAAACAAATTTTTAATGGAATGCTGCAGTGTTTATTATTGATGATTTATCCATGCATATCATATTTTTTTTTAATTCATGTGCTCTCATAATCTTTAATCAAAACAGTTTCCCATCCACCCAGTGGGCACCTTGATATCAATTCGACGTCAAATGTTAGACAAGACTTGATCAAGATGCTGTAACATCATTTTAAATTCAGTTTGGACGGCAATTTCTCCCAGTGGTAATTGGGTGAAAATAGGAAGTTAATCCCACGCTGAAGTTGGTTTAATGTATCACAGCCAGAGAAAACCACAATGATCCAGTGATCCAATCAATTCCCAGTGGACAAAATCACATCCTGTCCTACTTTTTTCTCGTTTAAGAAGCCATTTCACTCAGATATACTTAAAAATACCAATTTTCATTTCATGCCAACAATGTTTACACTTTGAAGAATAGATGCTAATCTTTTCTTATAATTGTCATTATTATTAATTATTATAATTATACTTTTTACTTTAATTTCTATACTGAATTTTAATTTTCGAATAGTTAAAACAGTTAAATAACTGAATAGGTCCAATAATTTTGCTACCAAGAACCGTAAACTTTTACTGCTGTTGGTACTGACTACTCAAATTTTGGTATTACGACAGCACTAGTGCAGAGAGTAATATTGTGAGATATTATTACAATTTAAAATAGCTGTATTCTATGTGAATATACTGTAAAATGTCATTTATTCCCGATGATCATTACTCCAGTCTTCAGTGTCACATGATCTTTTAGAAATCATTCTAATATGCTGATTTGCTGCTCAAGAAACATTTATGCTGCTTAATATTTTTGTGGAAACACAATTTTTACTGTCACTTTTGATCAATTTGATGCTTCCTTGCTGAATAAAAGTTTTGAACGGTAATATATATAGACCACATGTACCCTTTTAAGCATGGTGCCCACTACAGTAGACAGATGTATTTTTGGTGAACAGCAACAAACCCATTAATAATACCTGATGTTTTTTTTATATATATATTATTCTTTTGAAAAGTATATTTTTACCTGTCTGAATCTCCTGGAATAAAAGACAGAGGTAGATATTCCAGAGGTAGCTGATGCTTCACCACTTTCCTCAGCCATGTTGAATTTATGTTGTCATAGATAAAGAAAACAATGACATATACAGAGGACAGTCATATAAAATGATGGGTAAGGGTCAAAGGTCATCACCCATGGTGGTTTGGATGGTTAAAATGGATTTTAAAGATCTGTCCACTCTAGTTGAAACCATGCATCAGAGGGTTACGTGAAATCATGATGTCTGCATGTGCCAAATGTATTTATGCAAACATATTCATATTCAAACCCAGTGGGCAATTGATGTTGAAAAGACATCAAACTGATGTCAAATAACAGGTCAAATATGCAAATCAAACTGACATCAAAATCTTGACATGACGTTGATTTGGTGTAAATTAAATGCCAAACATATTGGCCTACATATACATTAAACCAACTTCAGCGTGGGATTAACTTCCTATTTTCATCCAATTACCACTGGGAGAAATTGTTGCCCAAACTGAATTTAAAATGATGTTACAGCATCTTGATCAAGTCTTGACTTATATTTGACATCAAATTGATATCAAGGTGCCCACTGGGCATGCTCATATATGGATTGAATATGAATATATATGAGATAATTTACATAATGTTTTAATTTGTTAGCGTTAGTTAACTACATTAGTTAACATGAACTAACAATTAACAATGCTTTTATAGCATTTATTCATAGTTAATGCTGATTACAGCATTTACATTTTTTTAAATCAAATGTTGTATCTGTTAACATTAGTTGATGCACTGTGAAGTGTGAACTAACATGAACAACGTAATTATAGCTATAAAACTAACATAACGATTAAGAAATGCTGTAAAAATAAGTTCCTCATTGTTAGTTTATATTAGCTAATGCATTAACTAATGTTAACAAATAAGACTTTATGGTAATGTGTTGTCAGATGTATGAATTCATATGCTGGCGTAAGACAGCCTTACCATTAAAAGCATCATGATGAGGTTTGTCATATATGCAGGAAATCTGTCTCTACATGTCAGCTTTTCTTTCTCTGGCTAAAGAATGAGAAAAAAAAAGTGCAAAACACATCAGGGATGACAGAGGAGTATTTTTTGTGTTGGCAAGGTCAGGAAACTTTTAATTTTAGTAAGTCTATGGTTACAAATATTTCAGCAAATCTATAACAATTCAATTAAATTGAAATTAAAATTAAACTGAAACAATAAAAGCCCTATAAAATATTGTAGTTTATTTTGACAGCTCATGAAAAATGGGGGCAAAAACAAAAGTGTTGCGTTTATAATTTTGTTCAGTGTATATTGTTTCAAAGCAGCTTCAAAGAAATATAGTAAACAGCATAATATTTATAGCAAAAACAATATATGCAGTGTCACCTTCTGTGATTTATGGTCTTTCTTCAGTGATTTCTGCATGACTCTGAATTCATATTCGGCTCGCGGGTGATCCTGACAAAAACAATTGACAATCTATAATGACAAAACTGACACAAGAACAGAGCAAAAGAAAGAAAGAAAGAAAAAGAAAGGGAGTGAGGGAGGAAGGAAGGAAAGAAGAAAGCAAGATGTTTTTTTTCTTTTTCAGGTGAGTGTTTCTAAGACGTTTCAGCACATGCTAGAGTTCCTGTGAAAGACTTGAGAGGAGAGTTTGGAATAGTGGATGAAAAGACAGCTGGGAATGCTGGTCAGAGATCAGAGCTGATGAAAAGAGTCTGAATATGTTCAAACCTTCAGTGCTTCCTACACACACCAGGGGAAGAAGAGGATGACAGCATTAAATGACAGACTAGTGAGATGACTTCCAGTGATGATGTGTCATGTGTTAATGTGAGAGTGTCATGTGATCAGACCTCCTCGTCCTCAAACCCTGTGAGATCCCACTCGTAGTTGAGACGCATCTGCCGCCGCTTCCAATGCTCCATGAAGAATGCCGCTGAAACACACAAGACTGCATTAATAACACTGACAGGAGGAAATTAACTCCATTACACTTCTGACCCACACCTGAGAAACCATTAGGAGGAAAGGTGCTAAATGTAGCAGAATGTGATCAAATATTAACATTTTAATTATAAAGATGATTAATAATCGCGTGTAAATGATGGGAGCAGCTAAATCAGTCTATGTGTGCAGCAGACTTTCACATATTGGCTGAATTCATGGATGAGAATTGAAATAAAAGTCATGATGGCACTCAGAATGGGAGGTTTGTTTTCCTGCTGTGTTTTTCATCCATTCAAGGGACCAAAAGCAGAACAAATGAAGATTTCTGGCCACGGCTCTTTAAAGGTACAGGGGTGTAGCTTTAAGACACCTACAAAAACCTACAATGCTTTACAATGCGTCTTTGCATTTATACTTGTAAAAGAGCAGCAGCTGTCATACGTCTCTTGCAAACAGATGGAAACACAGTAAATCTTGTGTGTGAACTTCTGCCCCCCAAACAGAGCCAAAGTCAGTGACTTCCTGTCCAAATCCCTCAGCAGACGACACAGAACAGAACTGAGAAACGTTACGGAAACCAGTTTAAATGGAGTCACACAGACACACAGGAAACAGCCAAACAGATGATAAAAACGACAAGATGGAGAGATGTTTAGTTTAGGACAGAGAGAACGAAGAGATATAGAGACGGCGCACTGGAAGAATAATGCCTTGAAAGAAAGACTCGGCTCTCGATTCTCAAACTAACACAAAATTCAAATTCACTAAATAGTGGCTGCACAGTATTCAGCCAAAAAATTGCTACTCTACATAATTAAGCTAATTACACCTGTAATGCAACATACTCAGCTGACTCTAGAACACAGAAAATGAATGACATGATGAATTTAAAACACTGACTCTTTTAAACAGTAGCTAATATTCACTATACAGCGGTTCTTGAATTTGCGAATATTATGTCTTTAACTACTATTTACACGAAAATTTGGTGCCACTTCATTTTACAGTAACATTGTTATGTATGTTAGATGTACTTAATAATGGCAAATTATACATAATCACAAACAGCTGACCCTAAACCAAGTCCTGTAGTAAGTCCGTGTTGTTAATTAATATTACTCATTACCTATGTGTGTAATTATACTGTAAGACACTGTAAACCTGTACATAAAATGAAGTGTAATCTAATATTTTGGTACAGCATACACAGCTTACACTGCTGCTGAATCTCAACCCCAAACCTATCAGTACACCTATAGCTAACACAAATCTGCCAAGGGTTTGGAGAACAGCATGTATGTACACAAGAAATATTTAACTACATATGCATTTAACACCTGATCTTCAGTCCACTTTCAGTATTGAGTGTGTGCTGTCGTCTAATTTGCCAAATGAGTTGAGGAAACCGTGTGCTTAAAAATGCAGACAGCCCAAACATATACACAACGCTATGAGCAGCTGCTGCACAGATCGAGGAGCTGAAATGAGATCTCGTGATGTTGGCAGGGATGATCTCACCCCACAGTGCCATGAAGATAGAGAAGAAGACCGTTGCAGGGTTATCAAACAGATGACTGGCCCGGGCCGTCCCACACGCTATGCTCAGGTTCCAGTAACTGCACACACGGTCACACAGAGGACACATGGTGATGTTCTTCCGCTGGTCACAGATCTCCATACTGCCAAACACAAGCAGTGTGTGTGTAACTATACACATAACTACCACATTTGGCATGAACGAAGCACCCAAACTGATTAAGAGATTAATTTATGGTAAATTTACAACCCTGTAACATCTGTGGAGGTTTTTTTTTATAACATACTTTAATGAATTTTTATTTAATTCTTTTAATTTTCTAAAGGTTAAGTAACTCTTCTCACTGACCATCTAAAAAGAAGTCAGTTTCAAGCCTTATTTTGTGCCATTTCATGGAAAGTGTCAACTAACATTAGTTTCTTCTGCACTCACATTATAAAGCATCATTTTACTGTCAGTGAAACTAAAATTAAACCATTTTCATGCTTTCATTAGAGTAGATAATGATCATTATTCTTATTAGTTCTACCCCAAAATTCATCCCCAAAAATGAGTTGTAGTTCTGTATAAAAACTGCAGAGACAGCTCCAACAGGCCCTTTTCAGACTGTCACAATATCCTGACAGTGACAAACTCCAGAGGGACTTTCAGACAGATGTTTGGTTTTATATGCTCGTTCTCAAAGTATGAACTTCCTCTTTAAAAGGGTTTAAGGGTTTATACTCAGAATGGGGGGCTTGTTCTTTATTACCCAACAGTATTTTTTGCCGTCTCAAAGAAAACTGTTATACAACTGTAGACGTGAGACATGAGTTAATAGTATTTTCAGTGACTAAAATAGACCTTGTCAAAGATGCTTTGAGGAACTACACTCTAAAATTGTATTGGGTCATTTTATTAGGGTATTTTCACAATGTTGGGTAGTTTTGTGTAACCCACTGCTGGGTTAAGTTTCACTCACAGTAGAAATGGTGCACCACCTCACAAACTACCCAGCCCACTGGGTTCTGGTAACTGCTGGTTTGCTAAACTCGATAAAAGTGGATCTGTTTGTCAATGGTCATTTTGTCTCCTGTCCAAACTAAATAAAGTAACCATTTTGCTTCTGAAATCTAACATTTGTCATTTTCTGTTTGAGAGTAATTACACTTTTTATGATCACAATTATAACACAGCTTTCTTTTAGTGTTGATAATATTAAATGCATATGCGATTGTTTCTTGTACTTTAAATTGTACCTAAACGTTTTGTTTTGTGTCCACTGACCTCGGAATGTCGTCATCAACAGTAACACATCCATAGAGGAACACAATGACCCCTACTAAGGAAGCAGGGATCAGCATCTGGGTGTAAACGCCAAGCCAAGCAAAGTATAGACCGATCTTCTCTCCGAAGTACTTCCTGTAAGATAAGTGAGAGATGTTACTAATGAACCTACAACACTGAAACATCAGAGAGTTTGAGATTTACCTGATTAAACCAATGGGCTGGTACTTATAAAAGACACTGTAGCTGGCCCACTCTTCATACAAGAGCTGAAATAAATGCAACAACATGATGAAACACCTCATTCATCAGCACTCATCTTCACCTCCAGACTGAAGCTATTCTCTGTGCTACTCTCAAACAACGCTGCTGTCTTTTCAGCTGCACACATTCAGTGCTTTCATAGTTTTTGCTGTGTGCATCAGGTCATTGGCCTGATGGGAAATAACATTTTCCCTGAGCTATGAACTGTGACGGCAGCTCACTCAATATCCTCAGCAGGTCAAAGTTGGCCTAATATAGATAGTGGTTTCCAATCCTGGTCCTGGGAAGCAGCACATGTTGTTTGTCTTCATCATTAACCACACCTGATTCAGACCGTCAGCTCATTAGGAAAAAGCTTCATGAACTGAAGCAAGCATTGGTCTTGATGGCAACCTGCCACTATGCTGTTATCTGTGCTGCATTTGATTTTGGCCAGTGAGATCAGCATTAGTTCTAGACCACAAATGGTTTGGGGTTTTGTCACAGGCATGACATTAAGTTAACATTTTTTTCTGAACTAGCTTCATTAAACCATGCTAGTAGCTGTGGGCTTCTCTCCGTTACTATGGTGTCATCGTTGTTCACTTCTTATCCAGTTGCTTAATAGCAGAAACCATCTGATACTGTTTCAAGTCTCAATTTTTTTTTTTTTTTTTGGCAAATTCTCATTCACACAGAAGACACTTCACAGAGGTATAGACAGAACAATAACTTACCTTTCTGTCATTTGGCTCAGCGTTTTCCCCACCAACATCACCCTGTAAGGAAAGAAAAGAGCCCATCATATATTGTGAAAAATTCTAACGCTAATAAAAAATTGTATTAATCAAACAAGAAGTTGGACAACTGCTCTGTATTTACAACTAGATAAGTCACTAAAACAATGCAACAATGTTGATCAGTTCTGATAGCTTCAGATCCATAGACAGAGTTCAACAGCAGTATAGTGATGGATACTTACATCATGTAATGGATAGGCAGCCAAATAAACACCACTCCCAAGCAGACTAGTTATTCCTGAACAACGTGTGAAAATGATATGCTGGATTATTCCTTCAAGTACAGTTTTGCTGTCAATGATGCAAATTAATTGGGCATAAATTTTAATATTAAAGGGTATGGAACACAGTTTCTAGCAAAGTTAAAGGGGTTCTATTTATTTTCAAAAACTCAAAAAATAAAATTTCAAATGAAATTTCAATTGTATAGACAAAGCAATAGCCTACCCATGCTAAATTTAGCTTTTGTGCACTTGGTTCGCTTCAAAACTTCAAATACCTAGAATAATACATATAATAAAACTTTGAATTCATGTAATAGTCAAAATATTCAAATTATATAATATGGCATTAATACTGTACATTTGACAAATACTTTATACTTACTAATGAACTTCTTGTTTTACTGTCAAAAAAGGAATCTTTGTCAGACAAATCAAACCTGTAACGACGAAAGTTCACAAGTACATTTTTCAATAAATTTTTGCATACGTCCAATGTTTCAATAGGTTCCTACAATTAAGGCCCACTCACACAAATCATATGTGAAAAAGTCATTCTAAATACCTGAACAAAAGTGAAATACACTTTGGCCATTAACTTGCTGGAACCATTGCTAAAATGTAACTATTTGAAATCTGTAATGAAAACATACCAAGTGGTGACTTCAAAACTGAGGTATGTACTGAACTATCATTTTTGTGTACTGTTACACACCTAATATATATCATTTCAGTGCCCCCCTCATTTTAAGATGAAACTGAAGTATATTTTTTTGGAATTTCTTAATTTGCATGAAGGGGTCCAAAGGGATGCGCTGTTCAATTTTAAAATCATGTATTGAAAATAGCACTCAGTGTGAATAGGCCTTTATGTTTTTGAAAGTTGAGTATAATGAAATCGTAACATTGATTCAGCCATGTGAAGGTCCCAAATCACCTGAATGTCTAACAGTACATGTAACAGACATTTAGATTTGTTTCATGCTTGAGAATGGATGTTGTTGTGAAGCTGACACTAACAGATGCTGCTTTTCCCTGGAGAACGGGTACGAGAGGTGCTTCACTTTCTGTGTCCTGTTCTCTTCTAAGTTTGGATGAAGAGGATCTGTTAGTTTGCTGATGAACACGTTGATCTTTTCCATTACGCCAGTGCTGTGCTTCACTTCATACACCTAAAGTAAGAGCACAGCATCACATTTACTCATCACACCTCTGCTTCACACACAGCAGCCGTGTATGTTCCTCTGGACTGTTAGACGAACATTACTTTTTTGGTAGGCATCTTCAGTTTCATGAATTCAGCCTCTCGACAGAGAATGCTCCATGGAGCATGAATCTTCACAAAGCCCATACCGGGAGTCTTGGTCTGAAAATACAGAAAAGATGTTAAAGTAAACACATCGGTGTACTGGATTTCATTATGTTGTCAAGCAGGTAGAATCTCTATTTAGCACAATGTGCCTGGGACCGAAGGAATTTGTTTCTGCAACTTTCACACACCCCTTTGAGGAGACAGTCACAGTGCCTATACTTCACTGTTAGAGCATTGAACAAGCAACACCACGCTCATCCCTGCAAATACAGGGACAGTCATTCTGAAATTTGGAAACATGACATTAATTCCATTCATGCTGGAGCTTTCGATTTTGGAGCTCACCGTTTCATAATGCAGTACAGAGCAGTGTGTGCAGCACTAGTCAGAATCTCCAGTGTCAGGGTTTTTTTTTTTTTTTTGTAAACTAATTAATTATATAACACTATATTACCAGTGCACCACAAATCTGCAAATAATCTGCTTCTAAGCATTTATTTATCATTCAAACTGATGGAAACTGATAAAATAATTAGACTTAAAAGATTTCTTATCCTTTGTATTTAGCAAATATACAGAGCAGTGTGTGCAGCACTAGTCAGAATCTCCAGTGTCAGGGTTTTTTTTTTTTTTTTTTGTAAACTAATTAATTATATAACACTATATTACCAGTGCACCACAAATCTGCAAATAATCTGCTTCTAAGCATTTATTTATCATTCAAACTGATGGAAACTGATAAAATAATTAGACTTAAAAGATTTCTTATCCTTTGTATAACATTAGCAAATACAGCCTTTGTGTTTCAGTTAAAATGACGAATAGTTTCCGCCAGTATGTGGAGTGTGACGTGATTCGTGACGTGGTTCCTGATGTTGAAGGTGATCCCGCGGACCGGGCAGAGCATGCGCATGGGCTACTGGTTGTTGTGGTCTTCTGTCACCATTAAAAGGCTTGACTAAACTGTTCTCTCGTGTTGGCGATTCATTGCATCTCATCTACACACTGGCGTGTAGGCAGCATTGTGGATTATCTCAGCTGATGAAACTCAAGACGTAAGCCATGGCAAATACACACAGAGCACCGAAGCAATGGTCTCTCACAAAAGTTGAGACTATGAATTCATTTGAGAACTGGCGTCAGAACCTTGTCTACATGTTATCTTTGGACACTGAGTTCGCTCCCTTTCTAGTTGAAGGCGCGCGCTGGGAAAAGAAGTCGAGGGCTTCACCATTCAGAGGTTTTACCAATGATGACGACGATGTTCCCGTCAATGGCGCACGCGCCAACAAAAGGTCAGCATGACTGAGCTTATGCTGGCGCAGATCGCTAACTACTGCCCAGTTATTTCCCGAAATACTATTGTTAAGAACTCTACCTGCATTGACCACATATGACAGACTATCAGACTACATTATGGATTCCAGTCAACTGGTGCACATTTCATTGACTTTGCTGCTATTAAACTTGAGTCTAATGAAGGACCAGAGGATTTGTACCAGAGATGAATGGCTTTTGACGAGTATAATTTACTACGCAGAGACTCTGGCATTACTCACGGAGGTGAAGTCATTGTAGAGGATGAGTAGCTCTCCCCCACAATAGAAAACGTCATTGTCCTTACTTGGCTTCGTCTTATACACAGCGATTTGCCAAAGCTTGTAAAGCAGAGATATGGCACGGAGCTGCGGTCACGCACTCTTTCATCCATCAAACCAGAGATATCTCAGGCCCTGTGTTCGCTACTGGATGAGCTACAGTCATCAGAGGATGCCAGAGCCGGACTCACAGACCGGACAATCACTTCCTCAGTAAGTGCCCTTTTCTGCCTTTCATCGCTAGGTGTGGCAAGTTGCTGGGTGGGTCTGGAGTCAGGGTACTATTCACGCTAGTTCGCACTGCATTGCAACATTGGCTTCGTGTACCCCCCTGCGACTGTTAGTGGCCTACAGTTCTAGCACATGTTCTTAAGGGTTGTGCGTCGATCCTTGCCCCCTTCGACAACATGGTGGTGAGTCGACGGCTGCGATTGTGTGGTCAGATGAGCTCCTCCAGTGTTTTCACAGGGCTCAAAAGGCGTTATCCACTAGTTGTGCTGTGATGATACCGCGACCTGGTGATCAGCTTTGGATCGTCACTGATGGTGCTCTCAGGGATCCAGGGCTGGGGGCAACAATGTATGTTACATGGGGGGGAAAGTTGCTGGTCGCCGGACATTTCAGCGCTAAGCTTCATAAAAATCTGATCAATTGGCTTCCGTGTGAGATTGAATCCCTGGCTATAGCCGCTGCCCTGAAGCATTTTGGTCCATATATTATCCAGTCAACGCAGAAGGTGTGTATGCTTACTGACAGTAAACAATGCGTGCAGGCCTTTGAGAAGCTATGTAGTGGGGAATTTTCTGCGAGCCCGCGTGTTACTACTTTCTTGTCGACTGCAAGTCGCCTTCAGGTCACTGTTCATCATGTTGCTGGGGCTGCTATTCTCCCTTTAGATTATGCTAGTCGCAATGCTGCACAATATGACAGTCCCACATGTCAAGTTTGTAGCTTCGTCCATGAATCCATGGTCTCTGTCGTGTGCCGTACTGACTTTGCCGACATCTTGAAGGGAGCTCAAAAGGTACCCTTTGCCAATAGAGCCACGTGAGTGTCTATTCAGGCAGAGTGTCCGGACCTCCGTAGGGTACTCGCACACATTTGGCAGGGTACATGCCCTTCCAAGAGAGTTACTAATGTCAAAGATGTGAAACATTATTTGAATACTGTTACCTTAGCAAGTGCTGGGCTTTTAGTTGTACGGCTTAACACACCACTGTCAAACACCACCGAATGCATCGTCGTTCCAAGGTCAGTACTGCATGGTTTGCTTATGTCATTGCACATCAGGTTAGATCAGCCCTCGGCTCACCAGTTGAGACTTATCGTCGGCCGGTACTTCTACACACTGGACTTGGAGTCGGCCATCCAGCTTACCACTAAGGGTTGTCACCAATGTGCTGCACTGGCGAAGTCTCCAGTGTTCACAGTGGAGCAGTCCAGCTGTGATCCACCTGAGACGGTTGGGTCTACCTTTGCAACTGACGTGCTTAAACGTGAGCATCAGCTCATCCTAGTCGTTTGTGAGTGCGTGACATCCTTCACATCTGCGTTGTTAATTGATGGCGAGCGGAAGGAGACGTTGCGGGATGGTATTGTACGCTTGTGTATTGGCCTTCGTCCGCTCGATGGCCCATTTGCTGTAGTTAAACCCGACCCAGCACCAGGTTTTTCAGCAATGGCCAAGGACACAGTGCTTGCTCAATACAGGCTGGCCATTGAGGTAGGCGATACTAAAAATGTCAAGAAAAATCCTGTGGCCGAGAAGGCTATCCAGGAGCTACAGGGCGAGATTTTGCGACTAGAACCACACTGTGGGGTCGTCACCCCCTTGTTATTGTCTGTAGCTGTCGCTCGGTTAAATAGCCGTATTCGGTCACGTGGCATGTCAGCCCGTGAGATGTTGTTGCAGCGTGATCGGTTCTCTCTCGAACAGTTACGGTGCATGACCGGGAACTGAATGCGCTGCAGCACGCACAACACCTGACTAACCACCCCCACAGTGTTAAGGCGAAAGCACCACTGAGTCGGGGTGCGCATAGCACTGATATTAACTCTGGCGACCTTGTGTATTTGTATAGTGACCGTAATAAGTCTCGGGCTCGAAGCAGATACCTTGTGCTCAGTTCAGACGGGACGTGGTGTAATGTACGTAAGTTTACGGGTTCCCAATTGTGGCGTGCTTCTTATAGGGTTCACTTAGCTGACTGTTACAAAGTTGACTCTTTCCCAAGTGTCGCAGGTCATTGTGAAGACGGTGCAGTGTCTGAGAGTGAAGACGAGTGCGAAGTGCCACTTATGGCTCTCCCGAGTGATCCTGATATCCCCCTGGTGATAGCGACACCTGCTTCACCCTCCAGGTTTGATGGCAGCGGATGCCAGGAGGGTAGGACTGTGTCCCCATTGTGTTTGGTGGAAGTCTCACGCCATGAGTTGGCCTCCCTCTCAGCTGTCAGCAGACTCCTCGGCGGGCAGTCCGTCCCCATCGGCTTCCCGACAAGTTAAAGGATTATGAGCTGACCTAGGCAGGCTGCCTTCACCCGTATCCTTGCTTTGGCTTAAAGGAAGTTGTGTTGATGCGTTGCATTGCTGTTCTGTGAGGCCCCATAAGGGTCTGCTGTGCTGTTGGCACTGCACAGATGGTTCAGTCAATTCATTTTGTGTTGTTGCATGCCACTTTCTTGTTTCTCCCTTTTTTTGTGTTTCTAATGTCACCAGGTGCCAAAGAAGAGGGGGTATGTTCTGGATGGAAAATGGGCAGCGCCAGTGTGTGTGTGACGTGGATCGTGACGTGGTTCCTGATGTTGAACGTGATCCCGTGGACCAGGCGGAGCATGCGCATGGGCTACTGGTTGTTGTGTTCTGCTGTCGCCATTAAAAGGCTTGACTAAACTGTTCTCTCGTGTCGGTGATTCATTGCATCTCATCTACACACTGGCGTTAGAATTGACTGTTAGCATGAGCATTAGAAATTCATGGAACTAAGCATGTTTCCTCAGAATAACTTCTACAAAGTTTTGTGCAGCTTGTGCATACAGTAAATAGACATGATATTCATAATGGGCCGTACTAGTCAAATCTAAAAAACTGCATCTGTTAAACAGCTATTGCCAGCATTGTCTATAGTAGAGGTCTTCACAGGTCCACCCGGGTGAATGGGTACAGGTTCAGGTCTGTATTTAAAACAGTAAGCTGTGTCTGGGTCAGTTCCCAATCTATTACTTTGGGTCCCAGGTCTGTGTGTAATAATCGAGTCAATCCAAGAAAACATATCGGGTTACACATGTAACTATGGTTCCCCGAGAGGGAACGAGAAACTGTTTCGTCTAGTAGACACTATGGGAAATGCCATCAGCATGACTGGTGTCTGAAGCACATGTGAAAACACTCCAAATCCATTGGACCACGCAGCCCGTCATTAGTGGCGCCTGTAATGCACATCATCAACTTCTTTGT